TTACATACAAAGAGTTGCTGCAGGTACTAGTATTCTGTGAAGCCTGCAGGAAAGCAGTCCAAAGGGGCGTGGAAAAACTCAAAGGAGTTGATTGAAAGTCCAAAGGGGCGTTGAAAAGCCCAAAGGGGCCAGTGGTGAAGTCCAAAGGGGCAGAGGACAGGAGTCCAAAGGGGGGCCCTGACAATCAAGCTCAAAGGAGCAGAAGCCTGTGTATTAAGCCCAAAGGGGCCAGAATCAAAGCTCAGTGTACTGTAGCTAAGCTCAAAGGAGCGGAATCTGAGCTCGGGAGGGGGGGCAGCCGCTGCAAGGGCAGCCTTAGTGGAAGCGCCGGCCTCAGATCTGAGGGGCGCAGCATATCAGCAGGCTGGCAGGCTGAGGCGCGCTGCGCCAGAAGACCAGCCTTCAGCGAAGTGTGCGAGAAGATCAGGCTGAGGCGTGACACGCCAGAAGACCAGCCTGCAGTGCACGTTTGGCAGAGCCCCCCAGCAAGTCCGCTGAAGCGCAGGCCGCCTAACAAAAGGGCAGTGCTCCAGTTAACCTGTAGAGCGCGCCAAGTTAGAGCTCCCCAGGCGTGGTTGAGCTCCCGGCAGGCCCCCCTTTGTGTGTGCGCCGCTGGTTCCTGTTAAGCGCACCCTTCAGGTGAGCGCACGTATCCTGAGCCCTGCGGCCGATCACAAGGATAAACGGTGAGTCCTGTTCAGGGGGGTGTGCACTGCGCGCTTTTCAGCGCCTGACTTTTCAGGACCGTTGTCAGCTGCAGAATGGGTTTTTCTGTGACTGGCGTGTTTCGATGGCTTGCGCTCGTGAACCTGGTCATGATGGGCAGCGAGTATGGTGGTGCAGCCTTGCTTGCGGGGCCGTCAGGGTCTGTTGGATTGTTCAGCGGGCGACCAGGCACCCAGTCTGTGGAGGATTTTGAGGATCGACTGCTGGCGGCCTACGCCAAGGCCAAATCGAAAGATAAGAAGTTGACCGAGGCTGAGTTCTTGCTTCAGCTGCCCGCCTATCTTGAGCATGAGGCGCTGCAGTTGTGGCGCAAATGCAGAAAGGATATCTTAAAAAAGCCAGAGGATGCTTCTGATTATAATCCAATTGCTGATCTGATTGCGCTCTTTAAAGAGCATTTTGGGGTGGCAAGTGCAGCAAAGGTTCGCGAGTTGCAGACCTTGAAGAAGCGCGAGGATGAAACCTGCAGAATGCTGAAAAGCCGCTTGGAGCGCCTCGCTGAGGAAACAGGTCTGTTGAATGCACGCGAGCAGGCGCTGACGTTTGTGAATGCCTTGCCCACTGCAGTGCGCGAGCGAATTGAGCCGATTCTCTGGGCTAAAAGCGCGAATGGCATCTACAGCTTGGATGACGCATTTCAAGCTGCTGAGCGTGTTGAGTTGGCGCAGGCGTATGCATCTGGCATGCGGGGGTGGGCAGAGTCTAGCGCGCCAAGAACGAAACAATCGTCTGCTCATGCGGCCAGTGCCGCCGACTCTTCCTCTTGCTACAGGTGTGGGCAGCTTGGCCATCAAGCAAGCAACTGCCCAGGGACGGACAGCCGCTGCAACTCTTGCCACAAGCGCGGCCACACAGAGGCAGTTTGCTGGACGGCGCACCCCGAGCTCAAGCCCGACTGGACCAGCGATGGTAAGAGCAGCGGAGGCCAAGAGCGCGGGCTTGCGCAGCGAGTGGATGCGCTAGCAGCCCAAGTTGAAAAGCTAACCCTACAGATGGCCACCCTTGTGCAGGGCCGTCGGGTTGGTCATGCGCGGCAGGCTGCAGTTCAGCAGCGTCCCATGGAGTCTGACGATGAAGTGGACGAGGCCACTGATTCCAAGCAGGCTGCTTACAGCGCGCTTAACGCTCAAAGGCCCACTTATGATCTTGCGCGTGATTGGCAGGTCGTTGACACCAGCGATCCGGCGTATGTTGCTGCGTCTCACAAACAATATTTGCAGGTTACTCAACCTAACGACTCTCATGCACCCAAGCCTGCAGCTGATGCAGCATACAGCGCTCAGGGTGCCAAGCACCCAATGGATGCCGCCTTTGAAGACGAGGAGTACCGAGCCCGCTGCGCAGCTCACGACGCCTACCGCGCTCAGAAGGAGAAGGAGGAGGAAGGCCGGAAGTGGGCCGAGAAGTTGCTGGACGCGTGGGAGGAGCGCCAGCTCAAGCGGCAGGGTGAGTAGGATAGGCCCAGCATAGGAGGTGGATTGCTGTGCCGGGACGGCCCAGCCGGCTAGGGGGGAATTGGATAGAAACAAAAATAATCCCGCTGATTGCATTTGCAGATCGGTTGGCATGAGGCGATGAGGAATAAATTGTTAGATAGGCGCAGCATACAAATAAAATGACTGCAATTCTGTTCCTATCGAGCTAGCCTGG